TGCATGAGAAGTGTTCGAGTGACCTCAGTGGATGAAGCTGAGGACTCTTGGTTTCAGCGCAGGTCATTATTTCACAGTTCCTGAATTTGAGCCCTGCATCAGAGCTCTGTGCTGACAGCATGGAGTCTGCTTGGGATTCTCTCTCTGCTCCTCCCCTGCTCTGGCTCTCTCCCTCTCTCTACATAAACTAAAAAAAAAATTGTTTATCAAAAGCCAGTTTCATGATTTTTTTTAAAAAAACAACTAACCGATTTTTTTTAACAGCAACTGGGAAAGGCTCTCATGTTATTTTTATCACATTGTAATATTCATCTAACTATTTTAAGGGTCAATATTGGGAGCACAGTGCAAGACAATCTTTCACATATTATGAAAGAAACCTCCATAAATGGGTAATACAGTCCATGCCTTGGGTTGCACAAACTGGTTTTCTTCAAAATGTTACTTCTGGAAGCTATTATCCCCAGCTTATGATGCTCTTATAAAAACACAGTCTGAATTTCCATAATAAAAAAACTTATTTCATTTTACACATAAGTTTTTAAATGATTTTTATCAAACTCAACTAATTCCTGACACACCCAGCAATCAAATTTATCATATTCAAACTTCAGTGAAAGAAAACAGCAAGCATCATTCATTAGTACTTGCTACATACAGTATAGTTTACATAAAATATTAGTAACCCCTGAGATGTGACAGGTGATAAAAATAGGTGTCTTAATATTGTATAGTCATGTTTATAACTTCATCTTATGGGGTCTGGAATTTGTCTCAGTTTATTATAAAAGTATTTACAACAGAGGATACAAAAGCAGAGGCAACAGGAGCAAAAATAGACAAGTGGGAATTCAAACTAAATACTTTCTGTACAGCAAATGAATCAATCAACAGAATGAAAGGCAACTTATGGAATGGGAGAAAGTATTTGCAAACCATGTATCTGATAAGGGGTTAATTTAAAATACATTAAGGAACTTCTGCTACTCAATAGCCAAATACCTAATAATCTAATTTTTTTTTAATGGGGAAAGGACCTGAATCGGCATCTCTCCAAAGAGGACATATAAATGGCAAACAGATATATGAAAAGATGCTCAAGGTCATTCATCAGAGAAATGCAAATCAAAACCACAATGAGCTATCACTTTCCATCCGTAAGTATGGCTATTATATTACACACACACACAAAGCACACGTGCACACACACAAAGCATGCATGCACACAAAGCATGCATGCACACAAAGCATGCATGCACACAAAGTATGCATGCACACAAAGTATGCATGCACACACGAAGAACCCCCCCCCCCCAAAAAAAGACAGCAAGTGTTAGTGAAGATGTCAAAAAACCTGAACCCTCTTAGAATACAAAATGATATAGCTGCTATGGAAAACAGTATGGAGATTCCCCAAACACTTAAAGGTAGAACCACCAATCCAGCAATCCCACTTCTGGAGGATTCTTTCAAAGGATTGAAATTAGAATCTTAAAGAGCCATGTTTGCTGCAGCCCTTGTTAAAACTAGCCAAGCCCTGGAAACAACCTGAATGCCCATCAACGACTGAATGGATAAAGTTAATACAGTATATACACATAGTGGAATATGATTCAGCCTTAAAAAGGAAATCCTGCAATAGGAGGCATGATCTTGAGGACATCATGCTAAGTGAAATAAGCCAGTCCTTGAAGGACAGATCCTGCATAATTCCACTGGTAGGAGACATCTAAAATAGTCAAAGTCACAGAAGCAGAGAGTAGAACGGTGCAATTCGGTGAGGGGAATGAGGAGTTGCTACTCAACAGGTGGAAAATTTCCCTTATGCAAGTTCTAGATAGCTGCCATGTAACATTGTGCCTCTAGTTCACAGTACTGTATTGTACACTTAAAAATATGTTATAGGGTAGATCTCATGTTAACTATTCTCACCATAATTAGTAAGAATTTAAAACTTAAATAGCAGCAAATCAGAGAATCAGATTTGAGGTGTAATTATATGAGCCAAATCCTTGGCAATCAGTATTAGGCTGCATGCACACCTGTATAATGATAACCTTTCACCTATGAAAATAATAAAATGCAGGTAAATGCTGAGATGCCCAATGAGCTGCCCAAGCATTCCATACAGTGGTTTACAGTAAGGTTTCTAGAGTTCTTAATTAACATGGAGTTATTGCATACACATGCACTGTCTAAATCTGAAAAGCAATTCTTTTGAACAATTGGCTAGTCTGATTGATAATAGTCTCCATTTCTTTTCCCTAAACCTTAAAATAGAAGGGGACTAAAACATTGACAGATAATTCATTGCAGAAATGAGAAATAGTTGCAAGCTGTACACTCTTTGCATCCTGCCAAAACATACTGAGGTTCTCTGCCTAGAGTTTTATGGCTGTGGTACACCCTCATGTATTAAACACCTCCCCCGCCCATATCCCTCTCTTTCCCTCTTTTTACTTGGAGGCTGAGGTGTTCTTCTTGGTCTTCTTCGTCGTGCAGGCTTGACCACTGGACTTTCCAGTGGCTGGAGGCCAGGCTGAATTTGACCAGTTTGCTGGGTCTGTATGTTTTAGGAGATAGAAATAAAGAGTGATAGTAACGGTGTTTGTTCATCATCCCTAAATGGCTTGCCTGCCAGGTGCCAGGCACTGCCAGGGCATGAAGCATGTTCCCTTGTAAAGGCTCACATGCCAGTGACAGAAAATAAAAGTCATGATTTCTCTAGGTTAGTGTGTTAATTGCTAAGGAATTGAAGAAATGTAGAACCAAGCAAAGTACAGAAAACTGGGTATTACCGGAAGGTGGGATGTGAGGGGGCTGGTTGAATTCATGGGGGACAAAGACCCTCAGTGAGAAGTTGCCAATGAATCAAAGACTGGAAAGAGGAGAGTGAGTTACAAGGTTATACGAGCCATAGGTAGAGGAAAGAGCAAATTTTCTACTGTAGAAACGTTTAAGAAAGAACAAGGTGGCCGATGTGACTGCTGCAAGGTGAGCACGAGGTAGAGAAGCTTAGGTCAGAGAGGTGGTGAGAGAGAGGCCATTTTTTTCAATGTTTATTTTCTTTTTTTTTTTAAATTTTTTTTTCAACATTTATTTATTTTTGGGACAGAGAGAACAGAGCATGGAGTGGGAGAGGGAGCAGAGAGGGAGACACAGATGAAGCAGGCTCAGGCTCTCGGTTTGAGTCAGTCAACCGGCCAGCCAAGAACTCAAACTCCTGAGACCTCAAGATCGTGACTACGAAAGGGCCGAGCTAACCCGACTAATGCCACCAGGCCTCTATATTCAATGCCGTTTATTTTCAAGAGAAGAGGGAGGAGGAGAAAAGCTCTGGGGAGGAGAGAGGAGAGAGAAGAGAGAGAGAGAGAAGACAGAGACCAAAGCGCCAGAATTTGGCGGTCTCAAACTCTAAAAAACCATGAGATCCGTACTTGAAGCTGAAGTTGGGGCCAATGGAATAGCCACAGGTACCTGGGGAAGTCATCATCCAGATAGTACCTCTGAGTAGAAAATGGGAACTTTGGATGTCGGCAGAGGATGGACTGCATGGACCGTGTTATTATAGTTCTGTGCTGGGAACAGGACAGAGAGGAAAGCACCGGTGGAAGCATCGAAGACTCTAGTTTGGAACCACTAGCCATGCAACAAGGATGTGGTGGGCTTGAGACAGAGGTTAGATGGCATCAGGTAGTGACACATTGTACAGATTAGATATTTGGAGAAATTGGGAGAGACGACAGTGTTTCCTGGACTGTTGGTGTGCAGGGAAGAGTTTGGGGTACGAGAGAGAATCTAGGGCATACTTGTGGGCGGATATAGGAAACGCGTGAGAAGGAAGCAAGAGCTGAGGAAGATCAAAGCATCTTTACCAAAAGAGAGTGAACAGGCCGTTGTGCTCACCGCCATGGCGTCCGGCGGCGGCGGAGCGCGCGGCTCCGGTGACGCCGACGGCGACGGAGGCGCACGACTCCCGGCGGCGGCGGAGAGCGCAGCAGCTCAAGCGCAACGGCGGAGGCGCCCGGCACTCACGGCAACGACAGGCGCGGCAGCTCAACAGCAACGGCAGGCCCGCGGCAGCTCCCTCTGGCAACGTGGGTATGACGGCCTCCAGCTCACGGCAACGGCGGCAGGCGCTTGGCTCCATCTCTGCACCGGCGGCGACGGCAGGCGGCGGCGGGGCTGGTTGAGAGGGCGCCCGACCTCGCGCGCGGCCTCGGGCTCGGGTCCTGGCCCGACCTGACATTACTGTCCTGAAGGGGACAGACCCTGGAAGGGGACACAGTTATGTTAGACTTCTCTAGATAGTTGTCTGGTCACCTTCTACAAACCAGGACTTTGAAGAAGGCATCAGGTTGCTAACTACACGTGTTTTCCAATCACACCAAAAAGACTGCTAACTGCCAACTTGTCAGAGAAGGATCCTGTGGTAAAAGGGAACCTGGTAAAATATTCTTAGAGACGTGCAGAAATTTATTGACTGGGATTCTTTTCCCCCACACCAAGTGACAGGTCACTGTGGGTTACCCTGCTTGCTTGTAGGAGTCCAGTGCGCACGGAGTTCACACCTACCGCCTATCCCCCTGGCGCACACAAACACACACACACACACCACACCCCAAACCCACAGGCACACACACCCAGGGCTACCGCCACCCGAATGGGTCACCCTTCCCTGACTCTGCTGACACAATTCACCTTCGTTCCTTCCTCCTGAAGTATTAGTCTGATCTGTGGGGTGTTAGTTGCTTTCTTTCATGCCCTGTAGCCTAAGGTTCCTCTTTCAGCCCCGCAGCGCCTGAGCGCTGACATCCGTGGGGTCAGAGGGGCAAAACTCCTCTCTGCAAAGGTCAGCCTTTCCCGGGACTGGCCCTGTACCTCGCCTTGGCCACCGAAGGGCAGTAGGTCTAGCTTGGCCTCCTTGCCGGACGCTCCCACAGTCAGCAAGGCCTGACCAGCCCCCACCCTCATTTCTATTTCAACCCTGCTGGCCCAGCCCCTTCAGGCACCGCCTCCATCCGGGCCCAAATGAGGCCTACCTAGTAGTGCACCTGGCGGTTTCAAAGGTGCTCTGAGTCTCAGGGGGATGGGCGTGGGTGGTTCTGCCCGCTCTCCTGCCTCACCCTACCTCCCCCACCAAACATCCCCCGATTAACCTGCCAGGTGACTTCACCAAATGAGGTGCACATGGAGCTCCAGAAACTTAGGCCCTTACCACTTAATATTTTAACCAGTTCCCCACGGCTCCCAATAAAACTACATTGTAACCACTGTGACTATCCTTGGATCCAAATCTAGGCTCCTCCATCATCTCTCCTTGGCCTAGATCCCTACAAGTGGGTTTGCAGTGATTTGTAAGCTTTTAAGTATTGGGGTAATTAAAAAAAATTTTTGTTGTTGTTGAATCAGGCTTTTTTGTCCATTGCTTCCAAGTTTCTGTCATTCTTTGACTTCGCCACTTAAAATTGTTTTTTTAATTCACTAATTCTTTAATTTTTGTAATTGCATTGTCTTGCATTTAAATCCTTGATGCACACACTGGATACCCATTTCATTGTTTAACTTTTTAATTTTAATTCCAGTTAGCATAACAGCATTCAATTAGTTTCCACTGGACAGTCATTTTAATTCAGAGAGAGTTATCTGACACCATTTCTAAAATAATCCTAACCTTGCCCCTGCTTTGAAGTCGCATCATAATTCTGCAGAAACCTGTGTGTTCCTTTGGCTCTAATTCCAAACTCAGTTCTGCTTTGTCTGGTGTACCAGTAACATGATGTTTTGTTCCTTGACCTTGAAAGTATTCTAAAGACTAGAAAAGGCTAAATTGGCTAAGCACTTGAAAATCCCTGGCTGTTCCTTCAAATGAGTTTTTGAGTCAGTGCATTAAGTTCCAGAATATAATAAATGCTGTTGCCTGGTGACTCTGAGGTTGGATTGAATTTAGACATCGATTTAGTTCTTCTGAATTGCAGAGTCTTCACTAAGGTTTTCCTGGAAAATCCTTGTGCTCATAAGTGATTCCAAGGAAGATGTTTGGGGGTATCCAGGTTGATGTATAGAGAGCACCCTAGAAATTGGCTCAGGTGCCCTCTGAGGGGGCATGTGTACCCCCCATGGTGGGGGCCATGTGTACTGAGTGTTCTGGTTTCAGATTCTGGTTTGTCTGGTGGAGGGTAACCTGAGAGAGGGTGTAGGGAGAAGAAGAGGAGAAAACTCTGGAACAGCAAATTGGATGAGACTCCCAGACATCACTTATGGACTTGGTGTCCTGCCCTGAGTCCAGCCCAGTCCTTGGGTATAGCAGGTTCTTAGTATTAAGCACACCTGAGATGCATCCTTCAGTAAGGAGCTGCCTCTTCATGGCACTTGGGACTCTTCCCAGTAAGTCTTCTCTCATGCCTTTCAGAAAAGTTGTACCATTTTCTGCCCACTGGCATTAACAGGTCATACATTGAATTTGTTCCTGAGCTCCATAGAGTCTACATCACTACTTATGACTGGTCTTTCACCAACAGAATAGAAGGGCCTCAAGGGAAGGATCTGTTCTTTCTCTGCTCTTTCTCCAATAGAGATAACAGTACCTGACCAAGACTAGGCACTCAATTCATATATTAAGAGAGAATCGATGGATGCATGAATGATTACATTTAATGATGAATCCCTGGGAAATTTGACTGACTTATAACTCTTTTTTTCTTTAAAGTTTATTTATTTTTGACAGAGAGAGAGAGACAGACAGAGCATGAGTGGGGGAGGGGCAGAGAGAGGGAGACACAGAATCTGAAGCAGATTCCAGGCTCCAAGCTGTCAGCACAGAGCCTAATGCAGGGCTCGAACTCACGGACCGCGAGATCATGACCTGAGCCGAAGTCGGATGCTCGACTGACTGAGCCACCCAGGCGTCCCTGACTTATAACTCTTATAAACAACCCCAAATGCCACAGAGTTGATCTGATTATCATTACCTTCCTGATGACATGCAGGAATCTGCCAGTGTTCTTTCTGGACAAAAAAAAAAAAAAAGGAAAGGAGGGCAGTGGGAGAGAAGGTGGTATTTAAGTTGGAAAACTGGGGATACACAGGCAAAAAGCGGTAGATAACTAAATGCAATTTGGATATACAGTTTGTACATATACTGGATCTACACACACATTCTTGCTTATATTTATGTATATATGTATTTATTTACACCTGAAATGAGAAGACACAATCACACACCAAAATAAACCTAATGGAAGAGGCTGACAAAATGGAAGGTGAAAAAACTAAGGTGGTTCTTTAAGAAATCAAGATAGCAGCTAAGCGGCTAAACCACCAAGAAGCCTAATGAAGACAAAAAGAAAGCGCCGAGAATCTTTGCAAAGATAATGAAGAAATGATCACAGAGAGGGAAAGGATGAGGAGAGGAATAATTAGCAGGCCTCTGCAAAGTAATGGAGAAACCTGGGTCAGAGGGATGGTTGTCTATACCACCTTGCATAAAATCACATCAATTGCTGCCTCTCTGCTTCCTTCATGTTTCCCTCCCACACCTTGTTCCCACGCCTCTGCTTCCAGGAGATAGATCACATGCCACACGTTCCTACCCAAGTAAATAACCACGAAAGAACACACATCCATTTCTGGAGGTGATGAATATGTTTAGTACCTTCGTTACAGTGATGGTATTACAGGGGAGTGCATAGGAGAAAATTCATCAAGATGTATGCAATCAATGTGTGCAATTTGTTGTAAAAAGAGGGAGACAGAGAACATAAAGTTAATGCAGCAAATGTTAACAGTTGATGAATCTCAGTTAACAACTGATGAATTGAGTTGATCAATAGATCAAGATGCTTTGTGCTGTGCTTGAATTCGTCCGCCCACCACCCCCACACGTTTCAAATTGTATCAAAATGAAGAGGCCTAGAAGCTGTGAAGAAAGCATTTGTGCATTCCT